CGGGTTCCACTTACTTCTCCCCTTACCCCTTTGGGCCTAGGGGTAGAACATCTCTAAGTTGTTGCATTATTTTTTTTTTTAGTTTTTCTACACTCTGTGCACACCTTTGTAAATAAAAACTGAATTTATCCTAATTTTTTACTACCACATGTAAATAAAACAAAAATTCAAAAAATAACACAGAGCCTTATTATGTGCCAGTGGTTCTCAAGGTGTGGTACCTGGAGCATCGGCATTAGAATCACCTGGAAACCTGTTAGAATTAGAATTCAAATTTTGGGGCCACACTCCGGACTGACAGAATCAGAAATTTTAAGAATGGGGCCCAGCGGGGCTTCCCTGGTGGTGCAGTGGTTAAGAATCCGCCTGCCAATGCAGGGGACATGGGTTCGAGCCCTGGTCTGGGAAGATCCCATACATCGCGGAGCAACTAAGCTGGTGTGCCACAACTACTGAGCCTGCACTCTAGAGCCCACAAGCCACAACTACTGAGCCCGTGTGCCGCAATTACTGGAGCCCGTGTGCCTAGAGCCCGTGCTCCACAACAAAGAAAGCCACCGCCATGAGAAGTCCACACACTGCAATGAAGAGTAGCCCCCGCTCGCTGCAACTAGAGAAAGCCGCATGCAGCAATGAAGACCCAAAGCAGCCAAAAATAAAAATAAATAAATAAATTTATTAAAAAAAGTGCTTCAAGTAAAACCGTACACACACACACACACACACACACACACACACACACACCAGGCAAACATAAAGACAAAAGCCCCACATAAAACCACCCCAAACAAATCCCAAAGAATAACATCAACTCTCACCTCAACACACCCATAAAAGATTGGTAACAATCATTGTGTCATGACTTAAAGGGAAATCATAATCTGTTGACTATTTCCCCTGAGAAGACTTCTGTGTGTCTTTAGAAAAAGGTAATATGTGTAAACATGTTTGTATGGATATAAGGAGCTAAACAGTCTTCTCCCATTTTCACCTCTCTTTTCATTCACCTCCTACATTAAAGCCTGTATCTATTTGCACTTCATTTGGTGTGTTTCTGTTTGGAGCAGATGAATTCTTATACATCTGCATTTTAAATTATATCTAAATCCTCTTTAACATAGCATGGAAAAAAAAAAAAAGATTGACCAGCACCAATTCAGTTTCAGCAATTTTATATAGGAATCCCAGAGCCTCGCATTTCCTTGTACTCTGGGAACAATATATAGCCTGAACAAAAGGTTATAGTGGAAAGGAAATGTAATTGATTCTGAAGAGCATGAACATCTGCAGAGAATGTGGTGTAAGAGACAATGATCTCTGCTTATGAGGATGAAACGGTTTCTAGTTACCCATGTCAGAGAAATAACTCTGCCCCCACCCCCAACCCCAAGTTCAGTCCACTAAGCAGAGCGAGGCTGCAGACGCCTTCCATGACACGGAAACCAACAGAAATAGGTATAGAAGACTTGACAAAACTACATTTGCCCAGTGGTGTTGAAAAGTCAGAAAAGCTTTATGCTGGTGCAAATTTTGTCATTAAATGTAATGTGATTGTGGCTAAGTCAGCTTCTCTCTCTGGGCCTCAAGTTTCTCGACTTTGATGTGGGAGAGCTGAGCTGGATGACAGACACAGTTCTTTTACGATGCTCTGTCCAGTAAGATTAACAGACTACTTTTTCATCTAGAAGTCTCTTAAAGTCTCAGACTTTCCATTTTAGATGGGAAGAGCAAAAATTCTAACACAAGTGATTTAAGAACATCAACATTTATTTAACATGATAAAAAAGAAATGAGATATGAACATTTGCATTTAAACAACAGTAAGTAGCCTTTAATACTTACATTACATGTGCTCATTGTATAATATATACACAATGAACATAATTACATTTGTACACAAACTAAGTACTGGATTTGAAAACCTGCTTATTGCTGTACACATCTAGTCCAACGAAGTATAAGCCCAGTACTTCAAAATACCTACATTTTAAATTGCTTTTTAAGAAAAAAGTAAGCGATAACATTTGTATCTAAGCTGACAAGAGTGTGGCATAACTGCTGACAATGCAATCTGACCGAGAAATAATTATAGCAGGAAACGGACATACTTCACTTAGCAGTAATAAAATGGCACATTTTAAATATATATATAAAATTTTTACAAATCAAGGGTGAAACAAAGCATTGCAGTAGCCAAAATGGGAGGAAGAAGAAAAAAAAAAAAAAAAAGGAAAACAAGCTTCACTGGAAATAATAACTAAATTCATGTACTGAAAAGTGAAAAGAAATATAAATCCACCTAGACTTTAGAAACATCAAAATCTGGAAATCAGCAACTAAGTAAGCTCTGGCTGTAGACCACACACTAAAAAGCACCTTTACTTATGTGCTCTGAAATCATAGCAGCAAGCTGGTGTCAGAATAATAACCTTGAGATTACATTACATAACCTTGAGTGTACATATGGGCCATTAAAGCTGTTTTGGAATAAACATTTTCCAGAAGTGATAAAATGATGCTCTGTGGCCAAAAGCATCAGAACTATGAATTTCATAGATTTAAAATATACTGTACAATATCTTCTCACATTGCCGAAGGTCCATGTCCTCAGCTTTGAATGGTTTCAACAGAAGTCAGTATAGCTGAAAAATACAAAGAAGTAAAATTACTTTGACCCCTGCAAAGTTAATGAATGACCATTTCCTGAAGTAACTAAGGGCCACATTCTCTAGCAATAGAACTGACAAGCATGGCCATGAAAATCCCAAAACATAATACAATTGAAGGACATCTTCTCTTCATTTCCATAAGCTTAATTCACAAAGCAAAGAAACATAATGTAATATGTGCATAGCAATTCAGATGAAAAAAAAGGACCCAAACTTGTGGCTGAATCCAAAAGATTGACAAAATGAGCTGAGGTTTGCACAGCTTTACTAAAATATGTAATACTATATTAAGCTGCCTACATAGCGGTGTCATTTGTAAAACTTTCCTAAGTCTTGCCAAAACTACTAGTTCAGAAAGATGACACATACACAATGAGAAGACGGATTATAAAATAATGCAAGTTTGAATGCCACTGGTTGGTTGTGGTGACTGCACACCACAAAGCTAGAAAATATCCGGCAATCACTGTACCTTACTCTAGTACATAATACTACTGGCTCTTGGAATGAAAGTAAAACAAAACAAAATCGAATAATAACAACTTAAGGAACCTGGAAATGTACTCCAGTTTTAACTGTGAACGTTCTTGTTATCAGAATGGTCCGAGTACAATGAATTAGAACCTGTTTATTGAACCAAGAGATAATGGGAGTGTCTCTCAAAGTACATTTCACCACTAAGACAGACAGAGGCCATCAGTCAGTTCTTTGTACAGGAGGAATAAAATGAGCATAATGTTTATTATCCCTGTTTGGTGTTATTCTGTCACTAGTGGCAACTGCCACTTCTGAATGTATTAAGTTAAAAGTTTAAATATACGAGTGACAGAGGCAAGACACAGGTTAAGACTACAACAAATACAACAAATCCTAAAGAGATACCAAGTGACAACAAACAAAGTCTCTTTTAGGCTCCAGACAAACATGATCTCAAATAAAACTTACAGAAATGACAAGACAGTTAAACATAAATCCTCTGGCTGAAATAAGGGGACACAGATTATAGCTGCTACAAAAAGGTGTGAATGGACGTAGATGCTAGAAAATGAGCACTACTGGATGAAAAACTTAGTCTAAGTTGGTGTTTGTACTCATTTGAGTACCTAAAAATCAAAGAACATGTTTGTAGCCGTGCTCATAATGTCTGTAGGTGTTTTCTCAGCTTATAACTGTTTAACAGAAATTGGTGATAATCCGAAGGCACCAAACATTAGAAGATCTGGTAGATACTGAGAAAAAAAGTGCAGAAAAAGGCATAAAATGTTCACTCCATACCTCACAGCTTTTCTGAAAAATAAAAAAAGTATGTAAGTACAAAATTGAGGTAAAATTTAGCCATTGCTGATAAAGTTTAAAAGTAAGACACCTTAGGAAATTATTCGTGGTTCTAAAAGTGTGGTCTAAGGAACACTGGTTGAGAAAGGCCCCGTCTCCCTGTCCCCACCTGTGTCTTTTTTAAAAGCTACCTCCCTGCCTAAAAAAAAAAAAAGCTACCTCCCTGACTTAAAAAAAAATTATTATGTAGAAATAATTTCTGATGGCTCTTAAAGGTTTTACATTTACATTCCATATCTAGTTGGCTGTACCATAAACTTTTCTTTATCCTTAAAAATAATCAGCAAACTCCCAGTGTGGTAGATAGGTCACGCTGCATGTAAAAAACATTTCTGTAACAAAATGTAACGACTTGAACAGAATTCTCAGACCCAACTGTGGAAAGAAAGGTTAGGTGGGAGCACAGCTGCAAAACACTGCAAAACCTCCCCTCCAAGTTTAGCTGTTTTTATGGATGATGAAAGAAGAGACAGAGAAAATGTTACTTAGCAAATCATTGAAGGGCTGATGTTGGAAATTTTGAGTTACTGCCCGTGGTTCAAACACATGCTCTGCTAACTATCCCTAACACACAGGCTGGAATTCATCACAGTTTTTATTCACCAAATCAACAAAAGTCAGGCTGAAAGCTCTAACAGTAAAGCACAAAAATGAAAGGAAACGACGTACCTGTTCTGAGACTACACACACATGAAGTGTGAGCCTTCTGTGAGCTGCGGCTGAGTGGATGGAACGGGTGATGCCGAGGACTCGGGAGACGGGGACAGGCTTTGCACTAAAGCACACGGAGAAAATGTGACGAGATCAAAATCCTGGAGACACCTTCGGAGAAGGAAATCCTGACTGCGATTCCCAACACAGAACGTGTGTCGGGAAGGAATTCTTAGTTGCATTTCGGCTCTGTTTTTTGCTATTCTGGCAACTGATTATTCAGTACGAAATGTCTCTTGAAGACTGGTTAAAAATTCTTTTTCCATGTACATCTTAAACTTATATAATGTTATATGCCAATTATATCTCAATGAAACTGGAAAAAAATTAAAAAAAAATTTTTTTGGGGGGGCTTCAAGGTTAATTTTCGGGTGTCTATCAGTGACTCACCCCTGTTGGGTCTCATTTTTAAAAGCTTTTCTAGTTGCATGAAGCTAAATACTGCAGATGGTATAAATGTTGTGGTTTTAATACACCCACACAACCTTTAACACAGACTTGGCATAATAATAACCGAATGTGATCAATGACAATTTTTAAAGAAAGTGAGAATTCCTGTACACGTTGCCTTGTGAGTGACAAGAGGCAAAGGAAAAAGTGCTTCATACTGGTTACAAAGGAACATGGCTGATGATATAAATTTCCATGTTATATGTATATAAGATACAGAAAATGCTCTTAAGAACAGTCCTGCATAATTGAATATCATTGTACTTACCCTTCTGCAAAATGATTGGAGGCGGGGTTGGGGGGGCAGGAGAAGGAATTACTAGGGATAGCTTTTTGTTTATGGACTATGAGATGCAAAATCGATACATTACACTAGTGGGATGATTCCCCTACCCCCATCCCTTGGCAAAAGTCATAAAGAAAAAAAAAAGAAAAAAGATGTGTGAAGAATCCAGAAAGTATAAAAGAACAGCACAGAAAATTTTATTTTTTCTTAACATGCTATGGATCATGATCTTCCACTATCAAAGAAAAACCCAGATGTGGATTATAGTAGGAGCTAAGTAAGTAAATCCATTCTACTAGTGTAGATATTCAATCTTCCACAGTTCCCAAAGGGGTAGGCTTATGAATACTCTGAGAATCCAGCGTCAGAGAAAAGTACTAAAAGATCTTCTTAGAAAAAAGTTTAAGGTATGTGTAAAGGTTCAGATTAAAAAAACAAATAAAACAAAACAAAGAGAAGGAACTGACGCCCAAGACAGGAGAGAGGGTGGATCTAGCTGCTCAGGCAGGGCTGGCCCTGTGCTCTGGTGCAACTGCAGCCCTCCTGACGGTGCAAGTGTGGGAAGACAAAGGCTGCTTGGTCTGCAGTTGATGTCCCTGCGTGGCTCCCTTGGTAGAGTCTCCACATGGCAAATAAATTCAGAGGTTCACAGGAAGCACCAGTAAGAAAATTAGGAAACAATATCTACCTGCCATTGTCTGACTTCCTCTAGAAGCCTCAGGAGTTAGTTCATAAGAAATAACAGTTTCTTCCTGCTCAGGAATATTGTCCTTTGTATTTTCTTCAGGGTGGCCTTCTGGTTTATGATTTGGGATCTGTGACTCATCTTGAGGGCTAATGAAAATAGATGGAAGTTTTAAAGTTCGTTATTTTAGAATGCAATTAATTTTTTTCTTCCAACTTAGTGTTATGAAAAATCTTAACTATACAGAAAAGATGTCACCATCTGTACTTAACAATTGCTAACATTTTGTTGGCATTTTTGTCCACATTTTGCTAATCTTGTTTCATTCTGAACCCTCAGCCCCCTACTCCCCAAATGATGATGATGATTATTTTTAATTAATTAATTAATTCTTGGTTGCATTGGTTCTTCGTTGCTGCACATGGATTTTCTCTAGTTGCTGCGAGCGGGGGCTCCTCTTCGGTGCGGTGCGTGAGCTTCTCATGGTGGTGGCTTCTCTTGTTGCAGAACACGGGCTCTAGGTGCGCGGGCTTCAGTAGTTGTGGCATATGGGTTCAGTAGTTGTGCTCGCGGGCTCTAGAGCGCAGGCTCAACAGTTGTGGCACACAGGCTTAGTTGCTCCGCGGCATGTGGGATCTTCCCGGACCAGGGCTTGAACCCGTGTCCCCTGCATTGGCAGGCAGATTCTTAACCACTGCGCCACCAGGGAAGTCCTCCCCAAATTATTTTAAAGCAGATTCCAGACATATCATTCAGTCTGTAAATACCATCAAATATCCAGTCAATGCTCAAATGATCCTGATTGCCTCATAATATCATCTTAGAGTTATCTGTTTGAATGAGGATCCACACAACAAAGTCCATACACTGTATTTGCCTGAGAAGTCCCTTAAAGTCTACTTTAAAATATACCACTGCACACACCCATTTTATTCTTTGTCATTTATTTAGGAAAGAACCTGGTTTATCTGTCCAATAATTTACTGCATTTCTGGATTTTGATGACTGTATCCCTCATATTTTTTATAAACTGATACGATTCTTAGGCTTGATCAGACTTAGGTTTGGGGGGAAAGGAGGTAAGTAATACTCTATTAGGTGGGTGTCTTGCACTACTGCATTAATAGGCTGTCTCTTTTCCTGATGTTAAAAATGATCAGGGGACTTCCCTGGCAGTCCAGTGGTTAAGACTTCACCTTTCAATGCAATGGGTGTGGGTTTGATCCCTGGTTGGGGAGCTAAGAACCCACATGCCTCGTGGCCAAAAAACCAAAACATAAAACAGAATATTGTAGTAAATTCAATAAAGACTTTAAAAATGGTTCACATAGGGCTTCCCTGGTGGTGCAGTGGTTGGGAGTCCGCCTGCCGATGCAGGGGACACGGGTTTGTGCCCCGGTCTGGGAGGATCCCACATGCTGCGGAGTGGCTGGAATGCAAGGTGATGGGAAAGGGTGAAGATGCTGCTGTGTGAAATGTGTGGTATTTCTGTCTAAGAAAAAAAAAAAAAAAACCTTAAAAAAAAAAAAAAAAAAAAAATGGTTCACATAAAAAAAAATCGTTAAAAAAACAAAATATATTTTTAGCTAACAGCTTTAGCAGCACTGAGAAATATTGTTCATCCATTATTTTAATAGGGTTTTAGCAAAGCAGTGATATTCTAAGTCTCTCATTCTTTTTTTTTTTAAATTAATTAATTAATTAAATTTTGGCTGTGTTGGGTCTTAATTGCAGTGTGCGGGCTATCTAATTGTGGCACATGGGGGCTCCAGAGTGCACAGGCTCAGCAGTTGTGGTGCGTGGGCTTTTTAGTTGTGGTGTGCGGGCGCCAGAGCACGTGGGCTCTGTAGCTGCAGCATGTGGGCTTAGTTGCCCCATGGCATGTGGGATCTTAGTTCCTCCACCAGGGATCGAACCCATGTCCCCTGCATTGGAAGGTGGATTCTTACCCACTGGACCACCAGGGAAGTCCCAAAGTCTCTCATTCTTTTATTTTTTTTTAATAAAATTTTTAAAAAAATTTTATTTATTTATTTATCTTTGGCTGCATTGGGTCTTCGTTGCCGTGCACAGGCTTTCTCTAGTTGTGGCGGGGGGGGATCTTCGTTGCGGTGCGCAGGCTTCTCTTGTGGAGCACGGGCTCTAGGCGCGCTGGCTTCACTAGCTGTGGCACGCGGGCTCGGTAGTAGTGGCTCGCGGGCTCTAGAGCACAGGCTCAGTAGTTGTGGCACATGGGCTTAGTTGCTCCGCGGCATGTGGGATCTTCCCGGACCAGGGCTCGAACCCGTGTCCCCTGCATTGGCAGGCAGATTCTTAACCACTGCGCCACCAGGGAAGCCCTCTCATTCTTTATTGAGTGAAATTCTTCTAATAAAGAGTTTCCTCATAAACTCTCTGGTTGCAGTTTGTTTGGGAAAGGTAAGATAAATGTTTACTTCTTTCTCTTTATGTACCAGGTTTTGGAACAATAAGTCGATTCCCTAGCATCCTCTGAAGGGGCCAAGAAATTATTTTTTTTTGTTGTTGTATCAATATGAACTCATAGATTTGTAATATTCTGGATGTGTTTTAATTTATGTCTAGTAACAAAAGTTCAGCAGAGATTTTTTTCTTATCAGCTATCGCCAAATATTTTTCAAATTCCCTCTTGCTATTCATTGAAGAGATAAAGGCATTCCTAATAACATGAAATCACAGCATTTCTCTTTTCCAGCATTAGGAATTTTTTTATGAATGGTGAGACTGAGGATATGCATTTAAAAACGCTAGTTAAGAAATATAGTTAAAAAATAAACGGCAAATCACTATAATGTTTGGAACGCTTATCAGACATCTTAGATATCTGATCAATGTCTGTCATTTTACAGGCAACACTGAGGTGCTTAGTTTGCTGTAGCTTGTGTGCCTCTGGCATTTTTTTAAAAAAGGTATTTATTGATCACTTGCTGGGTGTTTAGCACAGTGCTAAGTGCTATACACATATTTTCTTATTTAATCCCTATAACACACTTGTGAGATGGATACTATTATTATCCTCATTTTTACAAGGGAGGAACCTGCATTTAGGACAGTTGTGTAACTTGTTCAAGATCCTACAGCTCGTAAGAGATATTCTGGGACTGGAATCCAAGACCTCTGACTCTGAAGTTTACCATTTTTAAGCAGGTATACAATTTTGTGAATGACTCCTTTGTTTGTTTTTCCTAATTATTACCTGTATGGAACATCCTTGGGCATCTTTTCTTTGTTTTCTTCTTTATCCACCACTTCCTCAGAATTTACTCCATTTGGCTCAGGTGTGAAAAGTGTTTCGGAAAAAGCATTTTCAGCTTTTTTAAACTATAGAAGAAGAAAAATTCTCTTTTTCAAATCATTTTTACCACATTTAATATATTAGTGAATTATCTAAAATGATTCCTAAATAAAGTTTATTAAAAAACCCATACCCTATCAAATATTTACTGAAATATAAATTTATATTCAAGTGCATTAAAAATATTAATGTCCTATAAAAAAATAAATAAAATTAAATTAAAAAATTTAAAAAAACACTAAAAAGAATTAATGTCCTTTGCTACTAGGATAAAAGGTACATTGCCATTAGCTAGCCGCTTTGGGATATAAGATTCTTTAATTGGGTTAATGATAATTTATTCTGGCCTTGATTGATCATGTTTTAAGCTTTCAATTAACCCCATTTTTGTTGTGGCTGAATACATCAATCAAATTACACGAAGCCTATCATTTCACTAAGATCTATATAGCCCCTGTGACAGAATGACACGTAACTATTTTCAACCTTCTCACTTGATCTTATCTTCAAAAATCCACCCCTTTGTAACATCTGTCCTAAAATAATCTCTCTACCTCTTCGCTGAAATCTGTATTTTGAGGTTCAGCTTCTTTTAGTCGAACAGTTTCTGTGGCAGGAGTTTCATGGTTTGGCTTCACATCATTTTCTCTAATGACGGCATCCAGTTCCTTAAGGTTATCATCCCTTCTTCGAGTCTGTTCAACAGATAGAATTTTTAGATTCATACTATACGGTCATGCATAGTTTTTAGATTGTACTTATTGTTTGTTTTGTAAAGTTCGTTCTTCACTTGCAAGGAGGTTTCCTTATGAAAAACAACAGAGGAATCATATATATTACGCATCTATTTTGTAATGTGTAGAATGTGCAGTTATTCAACTGTTAATTGGCTGAATCACCATTAGCAATGCCTGCTCTCCATTAGACAAGACAGAAAGAGGATTTCTATGACGACAGGGAATCACTTTCAGCTGGTCCATGTCTACTAACAGGGATAGACCAGACTGAAGCCACTGGAAAGGTTCCTTAGTCTGCTCTGATTTATGAATCACGGTAACAAACAAACAAATAAGTAATAAGAAATGGAATGGTGTCTCTTTATAAGACTGAAGTTAAAATGTAATGAATAGTAGAACTTTTCTTTAGAAACCCTCTCGCTACAATTTAGGTCATGCTAAATTAGTATACAGAGTAATACACATTTCATTGGGAGGCGAACTGGGGACTGTCCTGCTAACCTACACGGCATTTTACCTTTGTTGAAAGCACTTTTATCTCCTTACTATCTCCGTGAAGTAGATAGGACAGGTTGTATCTTTATTTGATTTACAGTCGAGGAGATTAAGTCCACAACGTATAGGAGGGTATCCAACAAGTAATTTAGCTCTGGTTTTCTGAACCCAGGGCTACTTCCATTTTACTAAGCTGTCCTGGCATATTATAAGAGTTGAATAATATAACTATCCATGTTGCTGACATTTAAAAGCCCATCAACCATGTAACTCTATAATTCTAAGATTCAAGTGATATTAGATTTACCCATAAGAATGAGTAAAAGCAATTGATATACCTGGGTAACCCGGAATGGATTATCCCTTAAATTTGAAGGACTTGGTAAGGGTGACTGGTCTAAAGCACCAATAATGTTTAATCCTTTTTTCTTTTCCCTTAAGCATGCTTGTTGATGCCTCCTGATTCTTTCCATTTGCTCTTCCACAGTCATCCTAGGTCGAGTGCTTTCAGCCAAACAGAGCTGTTCCACTGCACTTCTTGGTCTTTCCTTTAAATTGAAAGTAAACAAACGGATGAATACCTGAATACAGGATAACTTCTGAAAAGTATGTTAGAATAAAAAATGGCCTACAATGCATTTACTTTGTTTGCAAAATCTAAGGTGGAGGTTTTGGATGTCATTTAGAAAACGCCAGAAAGGCAGATTACTTGATGCATGCACTGATGCAGGATCAGCGATGGAAAGAGAGAGAGGAGGTAGGAGGGAGGGGAGAGAAGAGGAACTTAAGGAGGGGATTTGCTTGTTTTTAAAAAAAAAATACAAAAAAGTACGGCAGCTCTGGAGTGACCCCACCCCACGGCCCTGAGATAGGAAATTGTATAAAACTCAAACTAGGAGAAAACAGGGGGCATAGCTTCTAAAAATCAGCAATATCTTTTATTATATTAAAAATGTAATGTTTCAAGTCACACATTTTTTACTGTGAAAAGACTGGTAGAGAAAACATCCTTAGTTCATGAAAAACTATGGAAGAATCTATTTTCTATAAATCAGAAGGTTATATTTTATATACATATATACATTTACATGGCTCTCTCTTTTTTTTTTTTGCGGTACGCGGGCCTCTCACTGTTGTGGCCTCTCCCGTTGTGGAGCACAGACTCCGGACGCGCAGGCTCAGTGGCCGTGGCTCACGGGCCTAGCTGCTCTGCGGCATGTGGGATCTTCCCGGACTGGGGCACAAACCCATGTGGCATGCATCGGCAGGCGGACTCTCAACCACTGTGCCACCAGGGAAGCCCTACAAGGCTCATTTTTATGGTTTACTGAAGGGTTTAAAAATATTAGTCACATTAAACAACCAGTTCTTACTTCTCACTTTCTTACTAAAGATATAAAACAATATTGGTATGAGATCCAAAATAAGTATATCAATAATTGTCATAAGGAAATTTTAGCTTATTTTATATAACAGAAATTTTAGAGATTAAACATATTCTAAGATCTATAGAATAGAATGCATAGGTTTCTTTGTGTCCTCTGGACTGAACTGCTGGGAACTGACTGAGACATTGGTGGAGTTGCTGGTGTTTTGGAAAGAACCCAGGGCAGAGGTAAGTATTTCTGTGACTAAGCAGTATGTCAGGATAACGGCCAAGATCCTCTTCTCTCCACTGCAATCTAAAATGTGTCTGCAGGGCAGTAGCTACAGATCTAAAACTGTTTTCTATTGTATAGAATATCTTGAAGAGCTCACGTAGAAACTGAAAGGAAAATGAAAAGCCTTAGAGTGCAGAAATGATGCTTCTCATTTGTGAAACAAAGCATTTGCTTTTGTGAAAAAAAATGTTTAAATAAAGGTAAATTCTAGATACTGATTGGGAAGTTGGCTACTTTAGCACTCTT